CATCGGTTTCTTACCTTCGCGATGGCTCTTATCATTTCCAAAGGGATCTATTGGTCATCGTCCTCATCCTCAAGGATTGTTGTTGTTGTCGAACCGGGGAGATCTTATGCGGCTCTCACTCCTTGAAGAGCCATGAAACTGGGGAGATCTTATGTGGCTCTTACTGCTTGATGATCCATTAAACTGGGGAGATCTTATGCGGCTCTCACTTTCTGATGTGCCATGAAACTGAAGTGATCTTATGAGGTTCTCACTCCCTGATGAGCCATGAAACTGGGGAGATCTTACGTGCTCTCACTCCCTGATGAGCCTTGAAACTGGGGAGATCTTATGCGGCTATCACTCCAGGCCACTGGATGCTGAATTTTGAGGATTTTAGGCAGACCTCAGTAGCATCGTGACCATTTGGGGATTGAATGTCGGCTGAGGTGGTAGTCATGTGTCAGCTTGTCTTGTCGGTCCAAGCGTCCTTTCATGGTTTTTCACTTGAACAGGAGAAGTGGCACCGTGAAAACCATTTTCACTAACTTCTGTTATGTTTGGGTTCTTTTACGCATGACGGGTGGTCATGTCCACCTTTTTTATCCTTTTTTACTCATGGTGCCCTTTTGGGGTTTTCATCGTGCCTGGATTTTGCTTTCCATGGAACTCTCTTACTCATGGTTTCATGACCATGATCATCCGTCATTTTTACTCATGGAATTCCTTTGTCCAGGTGTACATGATGATCACTTTTTTTAGAAGGCATGTTTTAGGGTTGTGCCTTCGAGACCTGCGCGAGCCTTTTAATGTCATGTGGCCAAGACGTGCAGTAAGGAATGGCAGTCTGAACATGCCACATAGTGAGTCTAGATGACTTTGACGCATTTGGGAGGATGGCATGAAGTTTCCTGTAGAGAGTTGATTGGATGGTAGGTGAACGGTGGTGACCCACTAGCTGACGGTGAATATGGGTGCCGAGATGGCTTGCTGTCTGGTGAGCATGGGTAAGACTCACTAGGGGATGATGAAAGATGGTGAAGGTGGCCCGCACACACGAATGGGCAGGCTAAAGAAGACATGCGTTGAGATGCACGTAAAGGGCGTGTGCGCCTAAGTAGGCTCACTAGGGAGAAGAAGAGGGTACACGCACACAAATGGGTGGTTAGGGAAAGCGTGCGCGAAGATGCTCATGAAAGCGATGCGTGGCTAACAGGGGCATGTTTTAAGGTCATGCCTCCTAGACCTGGCCAAAGCAGCTTAACGTCATGTTGTCAGGATGCGCACTATGATTTAAGGTCATATAGCTTGGACCGTGGTTATGCAGTTTTAGGTCATGCAATCAGGACCGTGCAGTTTAAGGTCATGCAACTAGACCTCCGCTATAGTTTAAGGTCATATAGTTTGGACCATGGATATGCAGTTTAGGGTCATGCAGTATGGACCAAGTACGAATCGGCATGTCAGTAAGGCTGCATGGGGGGGTAGGTATGTGGATAGCAATCTGACTCCCTGGGGATAAAGATAGTTTAGGCTATACACATGCGAAGAGATGCAGATGAAGGTGGTGACTCGGCGAGAAGTAGTAAACAGGAGAGACTTCACTAGGGATTAAGAGGGACAGTGTGACTCCACGGGGATAATGAATATCGGTGTGCATGGAACTTTGACAGGCCAAAGCAAAAATTAATCCCACCATGGGTTGAAGGGGTAGGAATGGCCTTAACTCTCTAGAGATGATGGGGTGAGTACGACCTTTGCATACATCTAACTCCGCTGGGGGTCTAGTTGGAGTTATGCGTATTGACTACCGCATGTTACAATTTAAGGGTCTTGTAGCTCAGACTATGGCTATGCAGTTTAAAGTCATACAGCTAGAACCATGCAGTTTTACTATAATTTAGGGTTGTGTAGTTTGGACCATGGTCGTATAGTTTTGAGTCATGTGACAAGGACTTTGCAGTTTGAGGTCGTGCAACTAAACCACCGCTTTAGTATAAGGTCATATAGTTCGGACCATGGTCGTACAGTTTGAGTCATGTGACATGGACTATGGCTATGCAGTTCAGGGTCATGTAGCATGGATAGTGGCAGTGCAATTTAAGTTCATGCAGCATGGACTGTGGTAGTACAGTTTAAGGTCATGCAGCGTGGATAGTGGCAATGCAGTTTAAAGTGGTGCAACACAGATCGCGGCAGTGCACTTTAAGGTCGTGCAGTACGGACCATGGCAGTGCACTTTAAGGTCATGCAGCACGGACTGTGGCAGTGCAGTTTAAGGTCGTGTAGCACAGACCGTGACAGTGCAGTACAGTGCAGTTTAAGGTCGTGTCGCACGGACTGTGGCAGTGCAGTTTAAGGTCGTTCAACAAGGACTTTAGCAGCGCAGTTTAGCGTCGTGCAGCGCGGACCGTGGCAATGCAGTTTAAGGTCGTGCAACACGGACCGTGGTAGTGCAGTTTAAGGTCATGCAGCATGGACCGTGGCAGTGCAGTATAAGGTCAGGCAGTACAGACCGTGGTAGTGCAATTGAAGGTCATGCAGTACGGACCGTGGATATACAGTTTAAGGTCATGCAGCACGGACTGTGGCAGTGCAGTTTAAGGTCATGTAGCACGGACCGTGGAAGTGCAATTTAAGGTCATGTAGCACGGATCGTGGGAGTGCAATTTAAGGTCGTGCAGCACAAACAGTGGCAGTGCAATTTAAGGTCATGCAGCATGGATCGTGGCAGTGAAGTTTAAGGTCATGCAGCACGTACCGTGGCAATGTAGTTTAAGGTCATGCAGTACAGACCGTAATAGTGCAGTTTAAGGTCATGCAGCGCGGACTGTGGCAATGCAGTTTAAGGGCATGCACCATAGACTGTGGCAGTGCAGTTTAAGGTCATGCAGCGCAGACTGTGACAGTGTAATTTAAGGTCATGTAGCACGGACCGTAGTAGTAGCAGTGAGGGGATGTGATTCCATGGGGTAATAGAGCCGTCACCGGAGACTGGGCTCCCTGAGGAGTGAGATTGTGATGTCGGGAATGAAGTTTCTGAGGCTAAGAGAAGATGGTCTACAGGAGAGTGCTAAGACCTGTGCGTGACACTAAGTGTGGAGTGGCATATTCATCAACAAGCCTAGGTGATGCATTAAGTTGCTCGGGGAAGCACACGAGAGTAGCCCTTGACGTTCCGTACGGTGGTGATCTGTGGATGAGATACGCGATGATGACCCCTGGATTAGACGTCTGATGATAGTCTCTGGACGAGATGTGCGGCGATAGTCTCTGGACGAAGCGTGCTGCGATAGTCCTCTCACAAAGCACACGATGAAAATCTTGATGAAGCATGCGACAATAATCCCTTGGGCGAAATGCTCGATGAGAGTCTTGGCGAGGCCCGCGATGATGATGCCTCGGGCCTCGGGCTTGGCCAGCTCCGGCTGGTCTTATCGCCATTAAGAGCTAGGGATTGGAGCATCATTTTGCGTTTGTCAGGGGCAGTCTTCGACACTGCGAGGTATAAAAGGGGAGAAACGCCAGTTTACTGTTTTATCGAGGGTTAAAACAATAGAAGGGCTTTTTAGAGAGAGAGAGAGCAAAAGCTTCTGGTGAGGGTTTTCTGACGAGGACTTCCTGGCCAAAACTTGCAGAGACAGGTCCTTAGAGATTTTTTCTGATGAGCTTTAGGAGTTGCGAAGCTTCGCAGCGTGATTTCGAAGACTTTCTGGGAAGTGCTGACACTTTCTGAGTAAGGAACAGGGCTTCTCGGGGCCTTAGCAGAATTTGCAAAGGTGCCCTGCCGGAGCTCCAGTGCTCTTCCAGTCTTTCTGTTAATGAAGAGGAGGTCGCAAAAAAAATTCAAAGGGCTTTGTCAGCTCTCTGATTGTTGGAGGAGGCGATGGGACTGTAATGAGTTCACCAGAAACTTAGCTGAATTTCAATGAGCTTTGATGAACTACTGAAGTGGAAAACGGGAGAAGGGCAATCTGCATGGTCGCAGTGAAGCTTTCAAGGATTTCTGGTTGTTTTCGCCAACTCCAGCAACGAGCAGAAGGCGGCAAGGATTTTCCTGGGGGGCTGGAGTGAATTCCTAGTGGAGAGGGGAAGGTAAAAGGTCATAGAAACGTAGGCTGTCAGTGAGGGGTGACTATTGGGGGAACCAAAGACCCGTCAATGCCCCCAAAAAATTGGAAACATTGGGGACTAGGGTGTTTTAAATTCATGCATGCCAATAAGTCATATACAGCGCAGCCTTCGCACGTCCCTAAGTCACACACGGCAATAGCCACACTAGGGGGTATGAGGCTCGCAGCTATAGTCCCGCGCAGCGTTAGCCTACTCGTGGTGATGATAGGACATGACACTGTGTTGCGATGACGATGACCTCTGACGACAATGTCTTGTGGGGGTCAAGACTGATGGAAAACGGGGAGGCCTTGCCACCGCGGTGTGCTGGAGGCCAAGTCCTCAAGCACAACTGTGAAGTCCATATTGTTAGGTGGAAGGGCGTCCACCTATGAACAGGGTATGCTCTCTATCATAGGCCAGTTCCTTGCTGAAGAAGTCTGCCTTGTATGTTCGATATACTCATCAGATGAATTGAAGCTGACTCAGAAATGTTTGGATTTTTTTGGCCTGTAACCATTGTCCATGGCGGGACTGAGGCTAACTTCTCCAAGTGGTTTTGCCACTTCTTCATGGGGCAGGCATTTCTTTGGTGGGTTTGCTTCTTCCATACGAGGAGGGCAGTTCTCTTGTCCTCTAACTGTCCTCTTATCCTCAGATGCAAGAGCAACGCCGCTGGCTTTGGTTTTTAACTGTCCTCGTATCCTTAGATGTAAGAGCTTTGTAACTTCCCTGACAATGGGCCTTTAGTTGTAACCTACAACTTTTTCTAATGCAATAAAAGAAATGAATTTCCTTTGAGTTGGCTTGATGTTTCTCATCTTCATTTCTATCTTTTTATTGCACACACCGCACTTATTGTCATGTTAGGGATAATACTTCTTTAAATGTTGCCCGTTGATAGGGAGCTACGCCTCTTCTCCATCAAAGTGCATAAGTATATAGACCCCACTTGGTGTAACCTTCTTGATTACGAATGGACCCTCCCACTTAGGCTCGAACTTTTCTTTGTCACACCTGTGGATGACGATCGGTCTCTTGACTCCTAGGACTAGGTCCCCAAGAGTGAATGAACGAACCTTGATGGACTTGTTAAAGGCTTTCTTCATTCTTGTTTGATTGAGCTTGAGGTTCTGTTGGGCCTCTAGTCTCTTTTCATCAAGGGCATCCAGCTCTTGGTAACGGAGCCTGACTCTCTCGTCCTCAGTTAGTCCCTGATGTAGAGCAACACGGAGTGAGGGTATTTTAATTTCGAGGGGTAAGACCGCTTCACCCCCATAGACCAAGGAATAAGGGGTGGAATTAGTAGCATTGTGAGTGGTAGTGCAATAGACCCACAGAGCCTCAGGCAACTTATCGTGCCAGTTCTTCTTTAACTTTGACATCAACTTCCGAAGCACCCCACACAAAGTCTTGTTGAATGCCTCAGCTAACCCCTTAGCTCGAGGATAGTACATAGTCGAGTACTTCCACGGAAAACCGAACTGGTTTACTAGGAAATCTACATGTTGGCTCTTGAACTGAGGGCCATTATTAGAAGTTTTTTGGTCCAGGACCCCGAACTGGTAGATGATGTGGTACCACACGAAATTAGCCATAGTGGTCCCCGAAACCTGTTTGAGAGGGACTGCCTCAGCCCATTTCAAAAAGTAGTCTCTCGTCGCCAGGATGAAGGCATGACCCAAAGCAGAAGGAGGGTCGATGGGTCCTACAATGTCCATGCTCCACTGGGAAAAGGGCAATGATTTCACTATAGGATGGAGAGGCTCTGGGGGATGATGAATGAGACTTGAGTGAATTTGGCACACTTATCATCTTTTAGCGTAGTTTTGGGTGTCAACCACTATGGAAGGCCAGTAATAGCCGAGTCTGTGTTTGCTCTCATAGAGCTTGAGGCCAGACTGATGCAGCCTGTAGATGCCCAAGTGTACTTCTTCGAGTACTTTTCTTGCCTCTTATGCATCAATGCATCTGAGGAGGTTTCCATCAAATGACCGACGAAAGAGAACATCCCCATCGAGTAGGGTGTACTTAGTGGACATCTGTCGTATGCCATTACATTCCGCCCGATCTTGAGGCAACCTCCCGTGTTTTACGAAGTCCATGATAGGCTCCCTCCAATCTTCTACTTGTTCAACCTCTCCACACATTGGGTCAAAGAATCTAGGCTCTTGCTCCATGGCCTTGGATTCTTTTTATTGGGAAATTTCTTGCTCAGTCTTGATGACATCCCTAGATGCGAGAAGTGCCTCGAATGGGTAAAGCGGACACTCAGAGAAGACATCCCTCTTGTCATCTGCATCAACTTTAGTGCTCAAGTAAACATGTCTCCATTCGGTTACCCAGACTGGAGTGGGCCTTGTTGAAGACAATTTGATGCTGGCACCGAGCTTTGAGAGCATATCAACCTACGAGTTTAGCCTTCTAGGGATATGACTCAGGGAGAAGTCATCGAGCTGTGCCATGTCAGTTTTGGTTGTGTCGTGATAAGGCTTGAGAGTATCCTTCCTTACGTCATAAATCCCCTTTAGCTATCGGATGACTAGCTTAGAGTCACCAAAGATATTCAGCTTCTCGAAGTCTAGCTCCTGAACGATCTCCAGTTTGATTACAAGGGCTTGATACTCGACTTCATTATGAGAAAATGCCTCTGCAAGTGAGAAGGATAGAGGAATTATTCCTCCATCGGGAGTCCGGAACACGAGTCCGGTGCCCCCTCTATCTGACTGGAATGCTTCGTCAAAGTACATCTCCCACGGCCGACTTAGTGCAGCACAGAAAACTTCTTCATCCGGGAGATCACTTGACAGGGGAGATTTCTAAGGGACTGGGTGAGCCGCAAGGAAGTCTGCTAGGGCCTAACCCTTAACTGCCTTCTATGGTACATACGTGATGTCGAACTCCATCAGCAATAGTGCCTACTTGGCCAAATGTCCTGACAAGCATGATCGGGTCATAAGGAACTTGGTCGAGTCTGCCTTGGAGATTAACTTGACTTCGGGGCTAAGCAAGTAATGGCGGAGCTTCTATACCGCAATGATCAAAGCTAGGCACATTTTTTCGATGGGAGGGTAATTCTTCTCGACCCCTTGCATTCTGCTGCTGAGATAATAGAGTGATGTCTCTTTCCCTTCATCATTGTTCTGTGCCAGGAGTGCCCGAGTGACTCATCGAGGGCGCTCACATATAGGATGAGAGGCCTTCCTAACACTGGTGTAGAGAGTACTAGTGGATTCAACAAGTACTACTTGATGTCCTCAAGCGCAGCTCGGCACGCTTCTTCCCTTATGAAGGGAGTGTCCTTCTTCCGGTGGTGTGAAAAGGGTTTGCATCGCCTTGAAAGGTTCAAAATGAACCTCCGAATGGAGGCGAGTTGTCCTTGGAGAGACCGCAGCTCATGGAGGGTTGTAAGTGGGGGCATGTTTTGAAATGCCTTGATTTTGGCTGGCTCGATCTCCAACCCACGGTATCTCACGATAAACCCTAAGAATTTTCCTGAGCATACGCCAAAGGCACATTTTAAGGCGTTCAGCTTGAGCTGGTGACGTAGCAACCGCTCAAACACCATTTTGAGGTCTTCCTCATGAGTGGCTTTTGTTTCAGACTTTACCACTAAGTCATCCACATAGAACTTGACCTCCTTTTGAATCATGTCCTTGAAGATGGTTGTCATGGCTCGCTGATACATTGCGCTAGTATTCTTTAGCCCAAAAGGCCTCACTGTGTAGAAAAAGACACCTTTTGGAGTCAAGAATGCAGTGGCCTCCTCATCCTCTAGCACCATCCTGATTTGGTTGTAACCAGAATAACCATCCATAAAGGAGAAGATTTGCTAATGGGCCGTGGCGTCAACCAGCATTTCGGTGAATGACAGGGGAAATCGTGCTTAGTACAAGCAATGTTCACGTGATGAAAGGCGATGTCGACCCTGATTTGGCCATTCTTTATCTTGACTAGGACGACATTCGCTAGCCATCTTGGGTAGTTGACTTCACATATGAATCCAGCTTGCCTGAGATTTTTCACCTCAACAACGATCTGCATCTAGAGGTCGGGCCTCAACCAACTTGATTTTGCTTCATGGGTTTGATGGTTGGATCAATGCCGAGGCGATGGACAACAATCTAAGGGTCTAGACCGAGTATCTCATGATAATGCCAAGCGAAGACATCCCGATTTGCTCGAAGGAGGGAGATATGTCTTTCTTTCTCTTCCGATGACATCTTTGTTGAGATGAAGGTTGGACTTGGGTAAGCATCATCCCCCAAGTTGATCTCTTCTAGCTCATCATCAGTAGCCTGCCCACCCTCTTCCCACTCTTCAAGGGCCTCCTGGAGTTCCTCGTCTGGGGACTCATAAGGGTTTTCTTTGATCTCGAATGTGGCCACCCATGATCCTGACATCTCGGCCTCTAGGAGGGGCACAACGTGGGAGAGGACTGGTCTCTGGCTGACCCAGACGATGGAAGGGTCGGCTTCAAGCGGGGAGCCCATGACCTCATGATTGCGCTCACTCGGTACTACCCCTGAGCTGGGAGGCACCTCATGTACTTGGATCTTGTGACATGCCTCGTGAGAGCAGGAGCTCGAAGGTGGTTTGGTTTTGCTTAGTGTTGCTAAGGTGTCGACAGCTGTAGAGAATCTTGTCGCTTGCACCAGTATTTCTCTGAGGTGTACTTGCTGCTGCGTGGTGACGTTGGTGTCTCCGAACTCTTTGTTTGGAGTGTCAAAATCTGGGCACCATCGAGTTGTACCTGTAAAAGGAATAGAGGAGGGGAAAGGGGAAGAAGAGTTAGAATGTTCCGGGCAGCTTTTTATGTCGTCGCCGGAATTGGACGTTTGCAAGGGGTATTTAAGATCATGCCCTGGCTTTGACCATCTTGGGATGATTTTAACGTTCTCACCCATTTTGACCAACTCTTAAGATATTGATAACTCAGGGCGGTCTTCCTGATTAGACGATAAGATGAGACGACCTGCGCCTGGGATGAAGTCCCGAAAGGTTAGCAGTGAAGGAAGGGGCCTGAGGAATTCTTCCTCGACTAGTGGTTGAGGAAGATGATTCCTTTGACGGGCTGACCTATGTGCTCGTCGTCTCCTTTGGGATCCTTGAGGGGTGTTTGGACCGCCCTATCAGGTTGGTGAGTGGCCCTAGCTTGGTAGGTTGCCTCACGTTTCAGGGATTTGAGCCTACTTCGCCCATGGTAGACTTCCCAGGGCTGAGAGGTCGAGGGATCTGAAAGGTCTAGTGCATGCTCATGAGGGGCTTGTAGAGGGGCTTTCTCTTGAATGGGAGCGAGGGCTTGGATGTGTCTTGAGAGAACTGCACAGACAATGTGGCCTTGTAGGGCTTTCTCCTCCACTATGGCCTCGAACCCAATGCACTCTTTGAGTTTGTGACCCAACAGTTAGTGATAGGGGCACCAGAGTTTTTTCGTGCCCCGGGCAACACACTTAGGCTATCTGGCTGACTTGGGGGTGACAAGACCTTGCTGGAGCATTGCTTCAAAGAGGGCCTACAAGGGGTCTTGCTCAGTATTTTGCTGGGCTTACATCAGGGGGTCTTCTTGTGCAAGCGGAAGAAGGACCTGAGGGTGTCTTGCCGGGTTGCCCCAAATCTCTTGACACTGTTGCATCTTTTCTTCCAAAAGTTTATGGAAGCCAGTGCACTCGCTGATGTCATGACCTCGTATCGTGCATCAGAGGTTCTCAGTCCCTTGAGGCACGAACTTGGGCTACCTTGTCGTCTGCGAGGTAACGATCCCTTCTTTGAGTATTATAGAGAAAAATGCACGAAGAATAGAGGGTGCCCCATCGTCCTCTTGGATCGTGACTATGTGAGATGCCTCCGCTGCCCTAAATGCCTTTTTCAACTCTTCGAGCTTTATCTGACCCTTATTGATAAGGGCCTCGATAGTGCCGTTGAGCTTGTAGCAGTTATGAGTGGGGTGGACTACTCTCCTATGATATGCGCATTACTTCTCATTCAAATCTTGCCTCGGCGCCTCTACAGTGGTGACCTCTGGCTGCTGGATCATGTTCTGTTCTACCAGCAGATGGAGCAGTGCAGAGGTCCACTCCGTGTCAAAGGGGTAAACCTTATTCTGGTGCTGAGTCCATTAGTCGTTTCGCTTACTGTTTTTAAGAGGCAGGACCACATTATAGGACTGTTGTTTGCCCCTGGCCTGAGGGGTCTGTGCTTTAGAGAGGTCGAGAGTTTAGGGAGCTGCCCCTTTGGTGTCAGTCATGGTGACGACCACACTGATCACTGCCTTTTGACTGCTCTGACTTCTGAAGCGAGAGTTTGAGCCAGAGGACTGCTGATGAGGGTTGCCGTGGTGCTTGAACAATCCCTTGATGCGAACTTCCTTACAGATGAGCTCTGACATGGAGGGTGGATTGGATGCCTCGACATGTAGGGCCATCTCAGGAAGCTTGTTTCATATGCAAGTCTGGACTGCTTCCTTCTTGATCATGGGGGTGGTGTGAAAGGGCGCCAACTCTCTCCATCAGGTGATGAACTTGTCAACCAGCTCACTAAGGTCTTACATCAAGGTGAGGAGCTCGATGGTTTCTACGTTCCTTTAGACTCCGTCGAA